GTCGGATATTGGTCGAGCTGATTCCTCTCAGAGCCATGAATCATTCAGAAATTGTCCTACAAAGTTTACATGTTTTCGACGGATCCTTTTTACCAATTTGACCAAAAGTCGTACAACTAGAACCAATCACGTCATAAATTAACGCCAATTAAGTTACCGCTAATGCTGTTGCCGTGTAAACACCAGCCGGATATAAGGGCTACATTCTGTCCAGCAATCCAATTAGCGATCTCCTCGAGATTTTGTAGCAAGGCAGTCTAATATGACATCCTCAGGAAAATCGCAAGTCGACGAAGGAGCCTTCTATTTGCTGGAGAAAATATTTTTTCGTTTGCTCTTGCCCAAAACGCCGAGGGAGGCATTTCATGTGTATGTAAACATTATAAGAGGGTTGAACGAGATTAGTCGAGATTTCATGTTTATAATCGCCATACGGTCTTACTCCTTTAGGTCTCAACCGACCCAAAACATTTTACTTCCCCTAAAGACCAAGCAAGCTCTTAATGGCAATATTGTAGGTCATATAAATAATATTGCCCTTAAAAACTTTTATATTGCAAACATATGTATGACGTTGTAGTACTGACAACAGTTTAGGAAAAGCAAAAATCAAGGAAATGTTGCAAATGATACGGTGGCTACAGCCTGTGCTACTTCATGGTTGACATCTTAATTTGGCGGAAACATAATTGCCAAAGAATTGCCTGTCCCCACTCATGCATTCTGTTGCCATGGCAGTATCTTTGCTGAAGAGAAACGCCTCATTGTATTTGCATCTCCTTGTGGTTGTTACCGAGACGTGAGGCAACCAACGAACCTTATTATACAAAGAAACGGCTGCTCGTTCACTGAGTTCGTTTATTGCTTTCAGAATCATTGTGTGACCAACAATTGTCCCTGAAAAGTATATCCGTCACTCCCAGCTCTTCTGTATACCAGTCAGATTTGCATTGCTAACAAAAATAGCTAACCCGGATGTATGTTTCATCAAAAAGGAAAACCGTCTTGCACACTTGAAACATGAGCATTGTTCTTTTGATGACCTATTTATACGTTTGCTGCCAGAACAGAAACACGGGCCACTTTATAAACAAAAGAGGCATACATTAAATAAAAACCCTAGATTGAGTAAAACGTTTCCAAGGAACGAGCTCTCAGTGAAAAACATACTGCCGAAAGTTCATTTTAAACTACATTGAGGACTTAGCACTACGATCTTCCTCAATTGAAAGTAGAATCTTCTAAAGGTTAAATTGGGCAATTGGGCAAAAGATGTTTATGCACTGTAAGTCGCACCTTTCAAAAAGTAAAAAGAAAAACAAACTAGAGATATTGAGTCAACGAAGGTGTATATACCTGTTTTCACTCGTCAAAACAAGCAGACAAAGACCAAGGCTGATTATTACACGTAAACGTAAGTTGATTTAAAAACGTAGATATCATGGTTCGGCTTTTGTCAACAATTAGGATATTTCGTAATTTGTTGTCGCTTATTAATGCAACTACAAAGAGTTTCAACAAGGGCCTTCCCTATCTATTTCAGCTTCGTTATTAAACACTTCATAAACGTCATGCTGTCGTACTATGAAGGGAAAATATTTCAGCGTCAGTTTTGTTATCTCCCAAACCTTTGGATTTTGTTCCTTTCTGAGAATTCACCCTCTGGAGATTTCTTGTCAGATCGGTTTGTTCGGTCATCGGCCGACAGTCCCCGTCCCGTGAATGAGAAACGATCTTACAACAGAAAAAGCAGTCTCTTCACCTCTTCACTCTATTGTCTCCAACTTGTGAAAATAAAAAGAAAAATCTATTCATCGTGTGTTGATGTGACGGGAGAGAAACAGAGCTTTGGAAAACACCATTCATTTTAGACTGGCGCAATATTTTGTAGTCCATATTTATATTGTCATCTTTAGGGGTTGTTTTATTTTGTTTTAATTATAACTGCGTTCCAGGCATCGCTCGTTGCTAGCCAACTCGTCTGCTCAAAGCTTGGCAAGCAAATGTCAGTGATTGAAACGACTTTCTGTTGTGTAAACGTTCTCACCATAAGTGAGAGTAATAAAACAGTGGTATCTGACACGAGGTAAGTTTGAGATCGTGTACTTTTTATGCGTTCCCGGGCTGCTTTTTTTTTCGTTGAAATGGCGGAGGAGTTTCTTTGAGGTACCTTGTAAGATGGCCCATGCATGACATTATGTTGCGCAATTTTCCGTTCCCAATTTTTCTTGGCCTCCATGGGGCCTTTACTAATGGATAAAATATGAAGCTCATCATTACCCTGAGGCTAGCGATTAATATTTCATCACTCAGAATAATTAATAATTTCGTCGATACCGTGCGACTGGGGGTTCTTAACAAATGCACAGCTGCTTACGTTCTCATTATCCCGTTACTTGACAACGGGCGACGTTTTCACGCTCGATTTGCGTTTGTGATGCTTCTTGAGAAGAGACTAGGGTTGGGGTGGTCTGTGTTCAGCTGGAATTTCTATTACGCAACGTTGTTTTTTTGATTATTTTTCGTGTTGCATTATACAGAGCGGGGTGTTGCCAAGGTGGTGTAGGATTTGATAAATTTGTATTAGTTAGTAATTCTGTTTATTGTGAAGAGAGACATTTTGGGGATTTAAAGACGTAACCAGACTTTCATTGTCACTGAAATATCGGAACAATCATTAAAGTTATCGAAATTTAAGTCTCCGATGACGATAGTTTCCGTCTCAAGCGGCCATGTTGAACATGCGGCAGTGTTACGGACACGCATGCGCGGTACCCACGATCTTTGCCAATGCAAATCCAAGCATTCCTTGTAGCCCACAAGCGGCGCGGAATTTGTGTTGTCCTTGCAGCACGTGCAGTGCTGGCGGTGGCCATCATTGACCCTTTTGATCTCTGTATGTGCTAACTCCTTGTGTTTAATAGCACCACGATTTGACCTTCTGTCAGTTTTTTGCTTTCAGTTTTTCCCCTTGTGGATTCGACGTCCGGCTTGTCGGCTGACGCTAGCCTGAGGTCGCCTCGCTCATACTGTGGCCGATCCTGCTGTTTTTACCCTGATCGGCATCGGCTGCGGCATCTGTATCCCAAAGACCCAAACGGTTCTTTTGCTAAATAGAGGCTTGTTTCGTAATAGAGGTACAACCATGTCAGACAGGCTTCCATGGGAGGATCAGACAAAAAATAGACTCCTGGCCCTCCAGGTTGGGGTGTGTGCAGGACCACTTCACCTGTCACGTAAAAATCATTGTAGTTAAAGAAACATGAACCAACTCTGCGTCACTCTCATCGCAACAAAATCAAGTATATTCAGCATAGCAACGACCCATGCTTCTGGGAGCGCCAAATTATGGGGTAGGCCCTAGGGGTTTACGGGCCAAATTCTGCAGGTCGAAAAGCAAGGTTGATTTCATAGATGTTAAAACATACTCAAAGCGCGTATACTACCGACAATCAGGGATCATCCTGTCGTTGACGTCATCCTTGATGCACGGCCGCATCTCTGCATACCATCATAAAATTTGAAAAGGTCGCTTTTCCTCATGTCCCACGTGCTGCCCACTCTCATTTGCCCTCTTCTTGCATATTAATACCAATAACATGGTTTAAACGTTGCCACATTTAACGTCAAATGGGACTCTTTTTTTAAAAGTTTTTTATCTTTTTGTTTTTTTTATTTTCCTATATGCCAAGAACGTGTAAATGAAACCACTTCGCGTCAAACGAGCCATTTTAGCCAGTTTTTCTCACCCGAGAATAGTTGTCCTCACTTTGAAACGTGACATGGCGGCGTGGCAGGTAACTGCATTACAACCTCGTGTATTTTGCATTCAAATTGCTATTCTAAAATGTTTATCGTGCAATGCTGCGGAAAATGAGTATTAAACAATGTAATGTGACGAAAAAAGTTGTTACGCCTGAAGGACGCTTAGCACCAGGGGCCAATTTCATATGTTTAAGCACAAAATTTGCTTAAACGCAAAAAACAATCTTGTTAAAAAAAGGTGTCCAGCTTAAAATCTATGATATTGTCATGCTAACCAAAAGGCATGTGAATACCATTCCCAAACAATACACATCACTTGGAGTTTCGGGCTGGTAACCTGATTTGTCAAGCAAGTTTTTTTTTCACGCATAAGCAAATTTAGTGCTTAAGCATGGGTATTTGTTTGAATATTATTGCCTTTATACATTATCACTTGAAGTTACAAGTTTTGATCGTCGCAGGAGATGCCTTTTGTGGCTAAAAATAGAAGGTTGTCTATGAGTTCTGAGCTTGACCGAGTGAGGGCGCAATTTTCTTAGCAACGGTGGTTGGCTCTCCTTTGGTCGGAAATGAGCTTTGGTGGTTCACGAACGATGAGGAAACGCACACGTTACGGTCGGATCGCTACCAACAAATTGAGCACTCCCGACGAACAAGGGGGTTCTTCTGCTCAAGGCGGATAGACTAATTCTATTATACACCACAACTGGCACCTCACTCATTCGCACATTCTTCTGCTTGACGAGCGCGTGCTTTTGGCAAATCATGACATCCTGTTGGTTGAAGAAACATGCAACGCGCGCGTACAACCTGTCCAGGAGTTTTGCGCCGCCACCACAAGTAACGGCTTCTAATTCTGGTTGTCGAATTACACTGTACAAATTATGTACAACCACCATCAGTGGTTATGGGACTTTTGAACTTTGGTGCTATTCGGATCGGTGAACCTTCGTGCTTTTAATCCCTCACATGAATAAAGTTACATGTATTTCAAATTCGGACTTTGGAACCTTGGGGCAAATGAACCTTCGGATTTCGGACCGTCAGACTGATGATCCTTTGGACTATTGCACTAAAATTTAATGCTCGGATTAACGGACTTTTTCATTGTTAGAGTAATGCACCCTCGGCTATATATATTTTTGGTGGGTTCAGACTATCGAAACCTCGGACTATCGAGCTGATCCCCTATCAATACTTTTTCTAGAAGCTGTACGTGTCACTTCAATTTACAGTAGCGCCCTTCCTGAGGATTTCAACCTAAGGACCAACTTATCAGCCTCTCCAGATTCCACACAGTGCTCTCAGCCTCCTCCGAGCCCCCTCGCCTCCGCCATGAACCATCTCCGGTCCCTCGGTAACCAGCTGAGGAGTTCCATCCTCCGTTACGGGGTGCCTATCTACGAGGCCAAAGGGGAGGACATCGAGCTATGCAGTTCGAAAGCCGGCGAGACCACACAGGGGAGTCTGCAGCCCAATGGCCACATCAATCTCGCCGATACGAAAAGAGACGGTGTACCACCGAATCAGGACACGGCAGGTACATGTAGATTCAAAATCATTTTTAAATATACTGTGGGGAGGGGACACGCACGCACTTTGTGTGTGTATGTGTAATAATTATTACAAATGAGACTCAAGAAGGTAAAGTGTCGATTGGCAAACTATTTTATCTCCTAAATGTGTGTGAATTCTTCTTGAGATCGGAAAACTCGATGGTGACCTAGCTCAGAAATATAAACATCTTTAATAGACCCGTTCGCTATTTGAGTAGGTAAAGAAGATGACCCAGTTACTGAGAACTGCTTATACACAGACGTGTATAATAAAATCTGGACCTGCAATGCAGCATTCGTGACAGGGACGTCGTTGAAGCTATCGGAAGTAGAGTGGCGACCATTTTACTGTGCCTAAACTTTCTAAACTAATCGACGCTAACCTATGGAAGACTTTCACGATTTTTGAAAATCCAATAATTTCAGTGCACCGCATTCAATTACTGCCCAGGGGTTACGGGTAGCGAGTAGGAATAACTCTTGCAGATGATGTCCGTGTCCCTCCTTGTGTTTCAGTTCTTATGAAAGAAAATCCCTATTGTAAAGAATTAAAAAAAAAATCTTTTAAAAATCTGTTGAGTTGGTTCTGCACACAATTTTTGGAGAAAAACCTGCTCAGAATAAGCGCATAAAGTGAGGAATACCGATGAGCAGATGCTGAACGACAATACGTGTACTCGCTTTCACTGAATTTTGGGTTTAAATTCACGCTTTCCTTGGAGATCACTAATTGACACGAACATCATCTGCATCAATTACTGAATGTAGAGCACTGAAATTACTGAATATTTTTCACTAAAATATAAAAAATCGTGGCACTCTTCTTTAGCTTAATGTTGATTAGTTTAGAAACTTTGGGCACGGTAAAATGGCCGCCACATGACCTCCAGTGGCTTCAACTAATCAGGAGAGTTTCGGGTCCAGATTTTTTTAATATACGTCCGTGACTACTGCTTAATGGAAGCATGGGATGGCACTAATCTCAGCAGAGCGCCTCGTGTTTCTTAGCGAAAAAAATCTTTAGTTTAATGGCACAATAGCAACCCTGGTTCTCCCGTGGCTGAAATACTTCTTGATGATTATCCATGTTCTAAATAATTTTTGAAAGTGGAAATCTGACTTAAATTTGCCGCCCTTCTTCGTATGTGCAGGGACGAGTTCAGTATGGCAGGCAGGCTGGAATGTAGCCAACTGTATGCAGGGCATCGGCATGCTCAGTTTGCCCTATATGGTGAAAGAGGGCGGGCTGGCTGCCCTCATTACAATGGCAGTGGTGCTCATCATAGGCAACTACACAAGCAAGGTATCGATTCTGCGGACACTATATGTAGCACTCAGTTGGTCTTCGAGGCTATTCCCACTAAAGAAAAGAAATAAAAAAAATCTTGAAAATAGTTCGCGGTTACCCGCTACTTCACTTGACTCGGACCGGCCAACCGACCCCGGTGAGCTCGGT